TTTGAAAATGGGAAAGGAGTAGGTCAAGGCTACATATTGTCACCCTGCTTATTTAACTTATATGCAGAGTGCATCATGCAAAATACCAGGCTGGATAAAGCAAAAGCTGGAATCAAGATTGCCAGGAGAAATATCAATAACCTCGGATATGCAGATAACACCACCCTATTGACAGGGGAAAAAAGAGGAACTAAAGAACTTCTTGATGAAGGTGAAAGAGGAGAGCAAAAAAGCTGGCTTAAAAGTCAACACTCAAAGAACTAAGATCATGGCATCTGATCCCATCACTTCATGGTAAATAGGCATGTACACAATGGAAACAGTAAATGCCTTTATTTTCTTGGTCTTCAAAATCACTGTGGATGGTCACTGTAGCCATGAAATTAAAAGATGTTTGCTCCCTGGAAGAAAAGCTATGACAAACCTAGACAGTGTATTAAAAAACAGAGACATAACTTTGCCAACAAGGGTCTGTCTAGTCAAAGCTATGGTTTATCCAGTAGTCATGTATGGATGTGAGAGTTGTACTATAAAGAAGGCTGAGCGCAGAAGAACTGATACTTTTGAATTGTGGTGTTGGAGAAGACTCTTGAGAGTCCCTTGGACAGCAAGAAGATCAAACCAGTAAATCCTAAAGGAAATCAACCCTGAATATTCATTGGAAGGATTGATGCTAAAGTTGAAGTTTCAATACTTTTGCCAGTTGATGCAAAGAACTGATTCATTGTAAAAGACCCTTATGCTGGGAAAAATTGAGGGCTAGAGGAGAAGGGGGGTGACAGAGAATGAGATGGTTGGATGGCATCATCAAATCAATGGACATGAATTTGAGCAAACTCTGGGAGATAGTTAAGGACAGGGAAGCCTGGTGTGCTATAGTTCATGGGGTAACAAAGAACTGGACAAGATTGAATGACTGAACAAAACAAAACAAAAATTCAGCAATCATAAAAGGACTCTGAAGATAGAAGAAAGAACTGGCAGGCCATAGAACTTAAGACTTGAGGAAAGACACCACTGTGAATCTCTTGGACTTTCTCCATATCTCTTATATATTCCTAAGTTCCAAAGAAACCCACAACCTGGAAGTTCCCACAGGCATAAAACAAACACATAAGAAAACAAACTCTTTCTGTCCAAAGGAGTTGAAAAAAGCCAACCAGTTAAACACCTGTCCAGAAGAGACACCGTATCCAACAATAGAAGCAGTGGTGACCCAATCAACAGCGGGTGTGTGGTCATGAAGGCCAAGTCAGGGACCTGTTCCAGAGGCCATGCATGGAGCAGTGGTGGGCTAGACCACCACAGTATCAGCAACCAAGACCCAGTATTTCATCTGCTCCCATACAGTGACTTTGGGCACACAGGTGAAACCTGCAGAAATTGAGAGGGAGACTAGTAGAGCCAGAACGAAGCCAACCAGAGTAATACTGAATTGGGCTTGAAAATTAAATTACCATTTGAACTAAAGGTCACAAAAGTTGACCAGGATCTATAAGCTAGACCTAAAAAAGAATGAGTGCCTCTCTGTTGAAATAGAATATTTACATAAACTCAAGTATATTACAACACAGTAAAGCGTCCAGGATTTGTTGGAAAGTCACTCATCATACCAAGACCCATGAAGAACAACTTGAGATGGATACACTGCTCCATAGTGCTCAGGAACACAGGACGGAAGATAAATATGAGGCTGCTACATTAGGGATTATGCTGGTTCCTAGGCAACTATAAAACCTACAGACAATCATTGATAATATGTTCATAGGTGTTTTACATTTATGCTATTGTAAAATTAATTTTAAAAACAAAATTTAGGTACATTTGATGAATAACACACTAACTTATCAACATAATACATAAGCACACACACACAGTTTCTGTAATATATGTTTATTCAGGCTAGAGAGACTGAGATTACCACAGTTTTACTTCCTATTAGCAAGCATAGGAGCATCCCCTGAGGGGCCAGCCAAGGGACTCGAAAGCAAGAAGAACCTGTCTCAAACCTCCTAGGACCCATAGTGTATGTCTCAGGCAAGTCCAGAAATATACCTGTATATAAACCAAAAGAAGACTTTCAACTTTTTTTGTGTGAGGAAAAAAATGAAAAAGGAAACCAAGACACATAGCCTTTATACACAGAAGATAAATAAGATAAATATTGGTAGGATTGCCAGATTTAGCAAATAAAATAACAGAAAGTCCAGTTAAACCTGAATTTCAGTTACACAACAAATATTTCATGGATCATGCTTACACTAAAAAAATTCTTCATATGATGGTGAAATTAATTGAATGTTCTGTATTTTATCTGGCAACTTCTGCACTGAGATTATTCACAACTCTACTTCCTAATCAGAGAGATCCACAGAGACATTTGTGGGCTTGAATTCTAGCTCTGCCACTCACTACCTCTGTTACTTTCAGTATAATGTTTCTGTTTCCTAGTTTTATCTTCCTAGTTTTATTTGCAGGGAGTATTTTTTAACACTACAGAGAATTCCTCTTAATTTAACACTCTCAATAGTTTTCTATATAAAACTCACAGTTAGTCCAAGTTTCATTGGGCCAACTTTCTTTAAATAATACATTTCATTTCTTCCTTTCTCTATAACCTCAAAGACAGGAGATTTCCTAAAGCTCGTATAATTGTAAATTACTCAGGCATTAGTTTGGGGATTTAAAAACCAGTTATTTCCTTTTTTGGAAGTGAGAGGTATGTGAATTGAGTGTGTGAGTCTTTCAGCATTTATTGATATCTCTTTGCTGTGCTTCAGGAGAGAAGTGACTATTGCCATGACTATTCATTGCATTGTTTTTATAATAAAACAAAACAAAACAAAACAGCTGATAACAAAGTAGCACTAGAAGGGAGAGAATAATCAATATAAGGTCTCTCTGTATGTGTAAGTGCTCAGATATGTCCGACTCTTTGAGACCCCATGGACTTTAACCAACCAGGCTCCTCTGTCCATGGAATTTCCCAGGCAAAAATACTAGAGTGGGTTGCCATTTCCTTCTCCAGGGGATCTTTTAACCCCAGGACTGAACCTGCATCTATTGCATTTCCTGCATTGGTAGGTGGATTCTTTATCACTGCACCACCCTATACATCCAACAAAAGAATGAGATGGATTTAAATATATTAATATAGAAAGAGAATCATATTACATACCAAAAGATAACATGTCATTAATTTAAAATCCCATACAGATGGAAAGCAATATTCTCTATATTATTTTATTTTAACATAAAGGCATCCATATTTATGAAAAAAGATCTTTAATGGCATATACAAAACTGATAAAATAGATTTGATCCACTTCTTTCAAGAAGTGGAAGAAGAAGAATATACTCAAGTAATGAGTATCTAATTAGATACTAATATTAGAGTCATATTGTAAGATTTAACTAGGAGAATGTACTTCTATTTAATTTATGCATCTAAATAATAGTTTCTGAAGAAAAATAAAACAATGAAAAGATATAAAGTTTATGTCAAGAATATACTTAAAGAATTGAAGAATGGGACAATATTAATACAACATAAAAGAGAATTCAAGGGGAATCACTTTGAAAACAGATAGAAGACATTTTATACTTAGTAAGAAAGTGTGTACAACTAAGAAAAAGAGCTAAACAAAAGCATTAAAAATTAATAGAATTGGAGATAGTGACAAATTCAACAATAAATAAAATTTACTCAAATATAGAAAGCCCAGAGATAAATCCAGGAACCTATGGTCACCTTATCTTCGACAAAGGAGGCAAGGATATACAATGGAAAAAAGACAAACTCTTTAACAAGTGGTGCTGGGAAAACTGGTCAACCACCTGTAAAAGAATGAAACTAGAACACTTTCTAACACCATACACAAAAATAAACTCAAAATGGATTAAAGATCTAAATGTAAGACCAGAAACTATAAAACTCCTAGAGGAGAACATAGGCAAAACACTCTCTGACATAAATCACAGCAGGATCCTCTATGACCCACATCCCAGAATTTTAGAGGCAAAAGCAAAAATAAACAAATGGGACCTAATGAAACTTAAAAGCTTTTGCACAACAAAGGAAACTATAAGCAAGGTGAAAAGACAGCCCTCAGATTGGGAGAAAATAATAGCAAATGAAGCAACAGACAAAGGATTAATCTCAAAAATATACAAGCAACTCCTGCAGCTCAATTCCAGAAAAATAAATGACCCAATCAAAAAATGGGCCAAAGAACTAAACAGACATTTCTCCAAGGAAGACATACGGATGGCAAAAAAACACATGAAAAGACGCTCAACATCACTCATTATCAGAGAAATGCAAATCAAAACCACAATGAGGTACCATTACACGCCAGTCAGGATGGCTGCTATCCAAAAGTCTACAAGCAATAAATGCTGGAGAGGGTGTGGAGAAAAGGGAACCCTCTTACACTGTTGGTGGGAATGCAAATTAGTACAGCCACTATGGAAAACAGTGTGGAGGTTTCTTAAAAAGCTGGAAATAGAACTGCCATATGACCCAGCAATACCACTTCTAGGCATACACACTGAGGAAACCAGATCTGAAAGAGACACGTGCACCCCAATGTTCATTGCAGCACTGTTTATAATAGCCAGGACCTGGAATCAACCTAGATGCCCATCAACAGACGAATGGATGAGGAAGCTGTGGTACATATACACACACCATGGAATATTACTCAGCCATTAAAAAGAATTCATTTGAATCAGTTCTAATGAGATGGATGAAACTGGAGCCCATTATACAGAGTGAAGTAAGCCAGAAAGATAAAGACCATTACAGTATACTAACACATATATATGGTATTTAGAAAGATGGTAACGATAACCCTATATGCAAAACAGAAAAAGAGACTCAGATGTATAGAACAGACTTTTGGACTCTGTGGGAGAAGGCGAGGGTGGGATGTTTCAAGAGAACAGCATAGAAACATGTATATCTAGGGTGAAACAGATCACCAGCCCAGGTTGGATGCATGAGACAAGTGCTCGGGCCTGGTGCACTGGGAAGACCCAGAGGGATGGGGTGGAGAGGGAGGTGGGAGGGGGGACCGGGATGGGGAATACATGTAAATCCATGGCTAATTCATTTCAATGTATGACAAAAACCACTGCAATGTTGTAAAGTAATTAGCCTCCAACTAATAAAAATAAATGGAAAAAAAAAAGAAAAAAAAAGAAATCAAGAATTTTTAAACAGATCAGTCAGAGTGAAAAGAGGAAAAAATGGATAAAAAGTAAAAAGAACTTTTAGTGATAAAGCAGAGGCAAAAAAATGAAAGTGTAGAAAATGACATAAATTTGTAAGTCACAGTGCAAAGAAGAGTGAGAGAGACTGAAGAGTAAGCAATATTTGAAGAGAAGATGGACAAAAGTTCTCCAAAAAATATTGAGAAAAATCAAGTACCAGATTCAAGAGGTGATCCTGAAAAGCACAGGCTAAGAGGAAACTTGAAAAACCACCACAGGAAAAAAGACCCTTAACATTTGTCATGGTCCAATCAGGAAAAAAAAAAAAAGAATATCAGTTAGACTGTAGTCAGAAAACAGAAACCACACAAGTTGCCAAGAGTGAAGATTGAATAGAGGGAATCGGCTAAATAGGCTGGCAGCATCTAAATAAACAAAAAAGGAAGACTAAATTTATATAGAGACAAAAAGGAATGCCACTCCTGAAGCTGGGCAAGCCAAAGAAAGATCTGGGTGTTCTGAAAACTGTAAGAGGGGAGGATGGTTCCTTCAGTGCTAGAATTCGGACCTCTGAGGAAAAGAGACTGCATAGCTAGTGTTGGTTCCTAAAATGGTTCAGCAAAGGAAAACCACACACCAGGGAATGCTATCTTTGAGAAGAGGGAGCTTCCAGGCTGGTGCTGAGCCTCAGAATCTCAGAGGAGGATCCTACTCCACACACTAGTTGGGACCCAGACCTGTCAGCAAAGGGGATCCCAAAAAACTTGCTGTTGGTCTTTCTGAGTGGTGCAATCATGAGTGCATTGGAGTTGGAGGATAAACAGAAGAATGGACATTGCTGAAGGTCCTTTACTAATATGACATGATAAAGAATGGGAAGCAGAGAGGGAACCCTTTCTTTCTCTCCCCCTTTCTCCCTTCCGTTTTAACCATTTTAACCTTGGTTGAGTTATGATGAGGTTTCATGTATTTCAATTTTTGGTGCACCTATAAAAATACTCTCTGTTCATTTCAATTTACATTTTTTGTTGATTACACATAGAAATATGATGGATTTTTATATACTAAAAATGTGCAACCTTGTTAAACTCAATTATTAGAATGGCTTTTTAGTAAATTCTTTGGGATTCTTTATGTCAGGAATTATGACATCTGAAAATAAACAGTTTTATTTTCTATGTTTTATAAAATCTCTTTTCCTTGTTTAATTTTAATACCAAAGGACACCAATATGTTGAAGATGAGTGTTGATAGCACACTTCTTTGTCTAGTTCCCAAACTTAGGGGGAAAAGCATTGTCATTCACCATTAAATACGATGTTGAATGTAAAAACTTTTTATTTGTACCATACGTGAGTTTGAGGAAGTTTCTACTTATTACATGTTCTTGCATGATTTTTGTCAATTTGATTTGGACAAATTCATATTGACTGTTGTTAAATGTTTCTGTATTGATTGAGAATACTTTCTTTTCTTTTGTCTTCATATGCAGCACTGTTTATAATAGCCAGGACATGGAAGCAACCTAGATGCCCATCAACAGACGAATGGATGAGGAAGCTGTGGTACATATACACCATGGAATATTACTCAGCCATTAAAAAGAATTCATTTGAATCAGTTCTAATGAGATGGATGAAACTGGAGCCCATTATACAGAGCGAAGTAAGCCAGAAAGATAAAGACCATTACAGTATACTAACACATATATATGGAATTTAGAAAGATGGTAACGATAACCCTATATGCAAAACAGAAAAAGAGACTCCGATGTATAGATTTTTGAATTTTTTGTTGTTGTTGTTTAGTCACTAAGTTGTGTCTGACTCTTTGCAACCCCATAAACCGTAGCCCTCCTCTGTCCATGGGATTTCCCAGGCAAGAATACTGAAGTGGTTTGCCATTTCCTTCTTCAGGGGATCTTCCTGACCCAGGAATAGAACCCTGGTCTCCTGCATTGCAGGCAGATTCAGCTTAGGCCAACTTGAAATTCATGAGTATTTCCCATTTGTTGATGATATATTATCATTTTTCCATGTATTGTTAGATTCAATTTGCTAGTATTTTGTTAAGGATGCTTGCCTCTATATTAATGAGTCATTAGTCAGTAGTTTCAATTGTTTAACATGTTTTTATCTTTTTATGCCTTCAGTAAAATTCTTTTCTCATGAAATGAGTGTAAAGTAAATCCTTTATTTTCTATTTTATAGAAGAATTTGTGTAGAATTGGTAATATTAAGCATTTTGTAGAATTCTCCCCAAAGAAGTTTGGCTCTGAAGTTTTCATTGTTGGAATGATTTTCACTATTAATATAATTTCTGGAAAAGACATAGAACTATTAATTCAGAGGAACCAGAAATCAAATTGCCAACATCTGCTGGATCATCGCAAAAGCAAGAGAGTTCCAGAAAAACATCTATTTCTGCTTTATTGACTATACCAAAGCCTTTGACTGTGTGGATCACAATAAACTTTGGAAAATTCTGAAAGAGATGGGAATACCAGACCACCTGATCTGTCTCTTGAGAAATCTGTATGCAGGTCAGGAAGCAACAGTTAGAACTGGACATGGAACAACAGACTGTTTCCAAATAGGAAAAGGAGTACGTCAAGGCTGTATAGTGTCACCCTGCTTATTTAACTTATATGCAGAGTACATCATGAGAAATGCTGGGCTGGATGAAGCACAAGCTGGCATCAAGATTGCTGGGAGTAATATAAATAACCTCAGATATGCAGATGGCACCACCCTTATGGAAGAAAGTGAAGAGGAACTAAAGAGCCTCTTTTTAAAATATATATATATTCATTTATTTATTTTGGAGGCTAATTACTTTACAATATTGTATTGGTTTTGCCATACATTGACATGAATCAGCCACGAGTGTACATGTAAACAGCCTCTTGATGAAAGTGAAAGAAGAGAGTGAAAAAGTTGATTGAAAGCTCAACATTCAAAAAACTTAAGATCATGGCATCCAGTTCCATCAATTCATTGCAAATAGATAGAGAAACAGTGGAAACAGTGGCAGACTTTATTTTTCTGGGCTCCAAAATCACGGCAGATGGTGATTGTAGCCACGAAATTAAAAGATGCTTACTCCTTTGAAGGAAAGTTATGACCAACCTAGACAGCATATTAAAAAGCAGAGACATTACTTTGCCAACAAAGGTCCATCTAGTCAAAGCTATGATTTTTCCAGTAGTCACGTATGGATGTGAGAGTTGGACTATAAAGAGGGCTGAGTGCTGAAGAATTGCACCAATTGATGTTTTTGAACTGTGGTGTTGGAGAAGACTCTTGAGAGTCCCTTGGACTGCAAGGAGATCCAACCAGCCCATCCTAGAGGAGATCATTCCTGGGTGTTCATTGGAAGGACTGATGTTGAAGCTGAAACTCCAATACTTTGGCCACCTGATGCGAAGAACTGACTCATTTGAAAAGACCCTGATGCTGGGAAAGATTGAAGGCGGAAGGAGAAGGGGATGACAGAGGATGAGGTGGTTGGATGGCAGCACCGACTCAATGGACATGAGTTTGAGTAAACTATTGGAGTTGGTGATGGACAAGGAGGACAGGTGATGGACAGCGTGCTGTAGTCCTTGGGGTCGCAAAGAGTCGGACACGACTAAGCAACTGAACTGAACTGAACTGAATGCTGTAGATTTCTTCTTGAATGACTGCTGATAGTTTATTTCAGGCAGTAGTTGATATAAGGTATGTTGTTGAATTTATGCACTAAAACATTTATAATATTTTCTTATTATCTTTTTAATGTTTATAGTGTCTGTAGTGATATCATACCTTTAACTTCTGGCAATTGGTAATTTTTTCTTCTTTTTTGATCAATTATTTTTTTCTGGTCATTCAGGTTAGGGTTCTATCAATTTTCTTATAGTGAAAGATTCAGCTTGTATTTTCATTCATTTTCCTTATTGATTTTCTTCTTTCAAGTTCATTGATTTCTACTCTTATTTTCTGATTTCATTCTTCCTGCTTGCTATGGGTATAATTTGCTCTTCTTTTGCTAATTTCTTAATGTGGTAGTTTAGATAATTGATTAGGGATCTTTATTTCCTCTTCCAAACATCTCATGCTATAAATTTCTCTCTAAATATTGCTTTAAAAAGCATCACAAAAATTTGGATATCTTGTGTTTTATTTTTATTCCTTTCAAAATAGTTCCTATCTTTTCTATAAGAAAGATAAGAAGATCTATAAGCATCTTCCCATTTGACATATTATTTATGAACGATTAATTTTAGAACAATGGAATTAAAAAATATTTTTCTATAATTTATTTCTAGTTTAATTCCATTATGGTCAGAGAAGATATATTGTATAATTTTAACATTTTAATCTTATTGAAGATTTTTAGTGGTCCAAAATATGGTTTATTTTGGTAAAAGATGCATATGCATTTGAAAAGAATATTTATTATGCCAGGTGCTGTGCGGAGTGCTTCATAAATATCAATTAGATTAGTTATTTGATAGTCTTGTCTAAATCTTTTTCAAACTTACTATTTATGAGTTTTTCAGAAAATAGTGTTAGAACATCTAACTACAAATGCCTAACTTTCTATTTCTTCTTTAATTTCCTTCTTTTTTGTTTCAGTTATTTTGAAGCTCAGTTAAGCACATATCTGAGCTTCCCAGGTGACGCTAGTGGTAAAAGATCTGCCCGCCAAGGCAGAAGGTGAAAAAGATGCATGTTCCATCCCTGGAGTAGGAAATGGCTACCCACTCCAGTATTCTTGCCCGGAAAATTCCAGGGACAGAGGAGCCTGGGGCTGCAGTGTCAGACTGAGCACACACGCAAGGCACATCATATTCATTTGGGATTTTCAATCCTTCAATTGAATCCTTTAGCATTGTTATGCCCTTCTTCATCCCTTAAATAACCCTTGTTTTGAAATATAATTTTTACTATAGTAATATATCCACTCCAGCATTATGTTTAATGTTTGCATGTTTTGTCTTTTTCCATTATTTTACTTTATTAAATGGATGTATGAGGGTATGTTTGACATAAAACACGCTGTTACACATTTAAACTATACAGTACAGTTTTCAGCATATATATGTGTGTGCGCTCAGTCACTTTTGTTTGGCTCTCTACAATCCCATGGACTGTAGCCCGCTAGGTTCTCCTGTCCATGGAATTTTCAAGCAAGAACACTGGAGTGGGTTGCCATGCCCTCTTCCAGGGGATCTTCCAGACCCAGGGGTCTAACCCATGTTTCCTGCTGCAGGTGCATTCTTTACTGCTGAGCCACCCAGGAAGCCTTTTGACATATATATATATATATATATGTCAAAAGGCTTCCTGGAGATAGTTTTATGAGCTCATATATATATGAGCTCATAAAACTATCTCCACTCTCAAGATGATGACATTTCATTGATTCCTAGAAGCTTCTTCATTCCTCTGATAATCCTTTCTTGTTCTCACTCTTTCCACCCTCCTTCCTGTTCCATGGTTACTCATAGGTCTTGAATTTTGTATGATTTCATACTAATGCAATAATGCAGTGTGTGCTTATATTTTGCTGGTCTTGTTTCACTATGATAATTGTTTTGAGATTCATGTATATTGTAGCATATTTTACTAACTCATTTCCATTACTGATATATTTCTATAGATATCTGGATAGATAGGTATAAAGATGTAGCTGTAGGTATAGATGTAGGTAGAGGTATGTGTGTGCATGCTCAGTCGCTTCGGTCGGGTCCGACTCTTTGTGACCCTATGGACTATGGCCCACCAGACTCCTCTCTCTATGGGAGTCTCCAAGCAAGAATACTGGAGTGGTTTGCCATGTGCTCCCCCAAGGGATCTTCTTGACCCAGGGATCTAACCTGAGTCTAGGTGCATCTCCTGTGTTGCAGTTGGAATCTTTACTGCTGAGCCACTGGGGAAGCCCAGGTATAGGTATAGATATATTACAGTTTGTAGTTTATTAATTTATTTCCTTTTTAAAATTGAAGTATAGTTGATTTACAGTGGTGTGTTAACTACTACTGTGCAGCAAAGTGATTCAGTTATATACCTATATATATTATTTTTTAAAAATATTCTTTTCCTTTATGGTCTATCACAGGATATTGAATATAGTTCCCTGTGATATACAGTAGGAATTTGTTCTTTATCCATTCTAGATATAATAGTTTGCATCTGATAATCCCAACCTTTCATTCCATCCCTCTTCCACCACCCACCTCCTTGGCAACACCAGTCTGTTCTCTATATCCCAATTCTGTTTCATAGATAAGTTCATTTGTTCATTTGTGTCATATTTTAGAATACACATATAAGTGATATCTATGGTATTTGTTTTTCTCTTTCTGACTTACTTCACTTAGTGTGATAGTCTCTAGTTGCATCCATGTTTCTGTAAATGGCATTATTTTTTGTGGCTGAGTAGTATTCCATTGTATATATGTACCACATCTTCTTTATCTGTTCATCTGTTGATGGACAATTAGGTTGTTTCCTTGTCTTGGTTATTGTGAATAGTGGTGATATATTTATTTACTTCTCAGTGGACATTTGGAGTTTTCCTGTTTACAGTTTTTTTTTTTACTAATTCAAATTAAATTGCTATGAACATTCATGCACATATCTTTCTATGGATGTATTGTTTCTTTTCTCTTGGGAAATATCTAAGAGTGAAATGTCTAGATAATATGATAGGCATGTGTTTAATTTTTAAAGAAACAGCCAACCTGTTGTTGTTTTTTTTTTTCCAAGCAATCATGTTTATTTATAATCCTGTGATCAGAAAGAGGCCAATTAGAAGCCTTTGAGAGAGGTTGAAATCAAAGGAAAAGGAATGTATTAAAAATATAAAAAACACCTACTACAAAAACATAACATTTGTGTTTATACATAACCATTCATTTCATATAGATGTCTTTGGTGACACTAGTGATAAAGGACCTGCCTGCACACTAATGAAGGAGATGCAAGAGATGCGGGTTTGATCCCTGGGTCACGAAGATCCCCTGGAGGAGGGCATGGCAACCCGCTCTAGTATTCTTGCCTAGAAAATTCCATGGACAGAGGAGCCTGGTGGGCTACAGTTCATGGGTTCACAATGAATTAGACATGACTGACCACAACAGCACAATAGAGGAATAACAAAAAATGGGAGGTAGGAAGCAAATACCCCATCCACCACTCAGCTGGCGCAGAAGACCATAAAGCCAGCTGACAAACATTTTCCATAGCATCAATCCCTTAGAATTCTTTCTTTCTCTTTATTTTTATCAAGATATAGTTGATATACATTATGTAAATTACAGGTGTACAGCATAGTGATTCAATATTTTCATAGATTATACTGCATTTATATTTATTATTAAATATTTGCTATATTATCTGTGATGTATAATACATTCTTGTAGTTTATTTATTTTATATATAACAGTTTGTACCTCTTAATCCTCTCCCCCTATCTTGTCCCTTCCCCTTTCCTTCCCCACTGATAACCACTGATTTGTTCACTACATCTGTGAACAGATATCAATTTGCTTTTTGTTATATTCACTAACTTGTTTTATTTTTTAGATTCCACACATGATATTACATGGTATTTCTCTCTGTGTGTCTGAATTATTACACTTAGCATAAAACCCTCCAAGTCCATCCACGTTGTTGCAAATGGCAAAATTTCATTCTTTTATGGCTGAGTAGTATTCAATTATATAAATACATATATACATATGTATATATATACATATATAATTTTCTTTATCCATTCATCTTTTGATGGACACTTAGATTGTTTCCATATCTTGGCAATAGTAAAGATGCTGCTATGAACATTGGGGATGCATGTATCTTTTTGAATTAATGTGTTTTTCTTTTCTTCAGATATATACAGAGGAGTAGAATTGCTGGGTCATTTGGTGATTCTACGTTTAGTTTTTAAAGGAACCTCCATATTGTTCTCCACAGTGGCTATACCAATTTACATTCTTATCAACGGTGAGTCAGTGCTCTCTTTTCTTTACATTCTCAGAGACATTTGTTACTTGTGGTCTACCAAACTGTTTTTTAATGTGTCTGTGACATTTTATATTCCCACCAGTAGTGTATGACAGTTCCAGTCTCTCTACATCCCATTCAATACTTCTGTACATCCCATCCAATACTTAATGTGGTTAATATTTTTAATTTTATTCATTCTAAAATGTGTGTGATGCTAACATATTGTGATTTTAATTTGAATTTTACTGATAATTAATAGTGTTAAACATCTTTTGATGTACTAATTTGTGATTACTATATCTTCTTTAACAAAATGTCTGTTAAAATTCTTTTCCTGGCCCCGGGCGTCCCCCATCGTGCCGGGGGAGGTAGGTCCTGATGGCCCTCGGAGCTGCAGCCGCCTTTCGCTCCCTCCTTGCCACACTATACTCCAGTTTTTGCTTGGATTTACTCCTGACAACGTGGTTGGAATGTATCTGGCTCAAAACTATGACATACCAAACCTGGCTAAAAAACTTGAAGAAATTAAAAAAGACGTGGACGCTAAGAAGAAACCCCCTAGTTGCTGAAGCCAACTCCATCACTGCCTTCTGGATAAACTGTCTACTGTTCTCCAGGGCCTCCTTTACCATCTGAACCAAAGGCTTTTGTTTTAATCTCCAGCCTCAGCAATTTTCGTTTTTGCTAGACTTTGCATTGCCTTACAGCACAAAAGGGACCAGAAGTTAAGAACGACCCTTATTTCTCCAACATCCTCACTTCTTCCCTTCCTCCTTCCAGCCTCTTGGAAAGTCCTGAGAATGGAATCATGGTGCTCGATTAGTTATCATACCTTTAGTTAGTAAGTAGTCTCTCCCTTATTCTTTGAGATTTCTACTACCTTTTTCAAAAGAAAAATGGATGAGTTTTGTGTAGTTGATGAGATCCAAATAATGCGTGTTTCAGAGTCTGGTAATTATAATGGGTTTTTAAACATTTGGTACTAAATAATGTTGTTTCACAGTAGTAATTAAAATGAAAATCTGGAAGCTAATTTCTGTGAATTATCTACTGATTTTACATCATCAGGAAGCTCCATAGTTGCTAATTTCACCAATAAATCAATTTACTATTCATTAACCAAGAAACTGTGTTCTGAACCTATCAGGAATTGGGGAATTTAAAAGTATTTAAAATAATGGTCTTTGTCTTCAGTAGAATTCATAATCTAGTGTGCCTGTTTTTTCTAGATGTATTTGATCTGGCTCTTTTCAGTCATAAGAATCATAGTTAATGGGATTACAGGTACCTTTGACATTACATGGTAGATCTATGAGAAATTGTTTATAAAGGAAATTTTCTGCATTTTTGCATTAAAAAAGTATGTACATTATAACTTTAGAGTGATTCTCATAAGACTTTGTGTTTTTTTCCTGCAATCAGAAATTACTCTTGTAATTTTTCAAATGCATACTCAGTCCATAAAATTTTTTAGATGTAAAAAAAAAAGTTTAAATACATAACTTTCCTCTGGGTCTGTACAAAAGTGATTTGTATTATCCTCCAGCTCCTAGTTCCTCTCACTGGAGTCAGACATTGTTGCTAGTTTCCTGTATCCTTTTGAGAAAGATTTTGTGCCTAAATACACACACATACATGGGGGTTTTTATACAAATGAGAACAAACTGTATACAGAGTCTTCCCCAGTGGGGAAGCAGTATGGAAGGAACAAAGAACTGTTTTCATTTTTTGGCTGCATAAGGTTGTACTGAATGAATATACTATAAAATGCATTTAATCTGCTCCTGAGGAATGCTTAGGTTTTTTTTCCTGTCTTGCTACTACAGTGGTAACGTAAAACTTGATGTTATTATGCTTGTCAATGCAGAGGGATAGCTCCATCCTGAAGTCCTAGAAGGGTAATTTGCACTAAATATAAATAAAGTCCCATCTCATCGGGCATTTTGTTTGAGAGAGCTTGTTGGGCAGCTTTGCTGATAATGCCATTTCTGAAGACATTTTAGCAGAATCAGTAACCTGAAAGAATGGCTTAGAGACCTTTTTTTTCAGACAGTGATGCCACTGCCTGTGATGATAAAATGAAGTGATTCTACTTCTCTTGAAAAACATGGATCTTTCATACATGGAGATGAGTTTTGTCCCTGTCGAGTTGTACTGGTGTGTGAGACAGATTAGATCATATTATGGACTGGCTTCTCCCTTGAAGTGTGATCAAGCACTTGCTTGAAGTAAGCAAGCAGCTTATTTTTCTGAAACTGTTGTATTCTCTGTACCTACCTCAGAGGGCTTCCATGAGAAACAGCTGAAATAATGTGTGTGATGTGTAGCACAGTGCTTTGCAAATTATCCAATAAATAGTAGATACTAGTCCAAAAAAAATTCTTTTCCTATTTGATGTTTAATGTTTATTATTGCATTATTGAGTTTTGTGATTTTATTTTATGTTGGTTTGTTTATTTGCTTCCTGAGTTTGTGTGTGTGTATGTGTGTGTGTGTGTATGTGTGTGTGTGTGTGTGTGCATGTGTGTATTCTGGATACATGTCCTTTATCAGGTGTGATATGAAAATATTTTCTCTCTGTAGCTTATTTTTTTTATTCTCTTAACAGTGTTTTTCAAGGAGAATAGCTTTAATTTTGATAATGTCCAGTTGTCATGAATCATGTTTTTGGTGTCAAATATAATAAGTCTTTGCCTCCCTGAAGGTCATAAAATTTTTCCCTATATTTTATTTCAGATATTTTATAGTTTTAAATTTTGTATTTAATTTAATGATGCATTTTGAAAAAAAATGTATGTAATGTGAGACGTGGGCTTCCCAGGTGGTTTGGATGGTAAAGGATCTGACTGCAATGCAGGAGACACAGGTTGGGAAGATCCTCTGGAGGAAGGCATGGCAACCCACCCCAGTATTCTTGCCTGGGAAATCCCACGGACAGAGGAGCCCACAGTCCACGTGGTTGCAAGAAAGTCTGACACAACTTAGCAATGAGAGGTGCTAACAATGAGAGGTGTATTTCAAAGATAGGAAGAAAAGGGCTATATTGGTGATCTCTATGAATGTTAGGCATTTCTAGTCCAACTATTTTAAGCTCTCTAAACTCTCACTTTCTACACCTCAGTACTCACTTTCAGAGTGTATTAAACCCAAGAAAGAGAGTACAAGAAGTAAAAAATATGCTAAACCCACTGTCAGTTCCCTGGTATTTTGAATTTGGTTGTCCTTTCTCAATTTGCTCACTGCTATTTATATTTCAAAGTCCTCAGCTTCTCCACTCATTCTTTCCCAGCTGTAGCTGTATTCAGTGGCAGAGATGGGTGGCATGTTTTCATTTTGTATTACCTGAAATCAGAATCAACATTCCCACTTCCATATGTTTCTATCACTGTGTTCACCTCACAAGCACACACATAGCTTACAAAACAACTCCCTATTCTTCGGTGGGCTAAATATAAATATTGATCAGTCCAGAAGCCAATAGCCAAGTCTTTCTTTGGATGCCAGAAGCACCAAAAAGTAAAGATGCATAAAATATACTCTATTGTTCAATGAATAAGCCCTGTATATATGAAAGAAAAGTGAAAGTGTTAGTTGCTCAGTCATGTCTAACTCTTTATGATTCCATGGACTATAGCCCACCAGGCTCCTCTGTCCATGGGATTTTTCAAGCAAGAATACTGGAGTGGGTTGCCATTTCCATTTACTCCTGACCCAGGGACTGAATCTGGGTCTCTTGTGTTTCCTGCATTGCAGTCAGATTCTTTACTTTCTGAGCCACCAGGGAAGCCCCAATAATGCAATGAAAGAATTTTGTTTCTCACAAGTGTGCACACAAAACTGTCGCTTGTTTTTTTTTTTTTTAATGTACATTTTAGTCTGCTAAGTAGTTCAATTGCATACGTATCTGCTGGACTCTCAATCTGGATAAACAGAATGTTTTCTCATTGCATACCATCTGTGCCAATAACTTACCCCAAACTTCTCAATTTTAAGGAAAGATTTTTTTAAACTTCTCATTTAGTATAATATTTCCTTTTATCCTAAAATCCCAAATATAACTGAATTTTCTCTTTTAACACAAAGACAAGTTTAAATAAAGATGATATATAAATACATCTGAAGATAATTACTTTTGAAAAATACTCTGGGATTAGAAGTATCTCAGACTGTAGCCCAAGTTCTGTATTGCTCACCAAAGAACAGAAGTGACAAAGGCCTTTTAAGAGAAATCTCACAGAAAAATAAATATATTCTTAGTGTATAGTACAATGATTTTTAAATTTGAAACTTGAAATATCTTCCAAAGTTCCTGAAATGGAAGAGTCCATAAAAAATATTTCTACTTTTCTCTTCCTAATAATTATTTATATTAACTCATCCTGATTATTTATATTTATATTAAGTCATCCTGGAAAACTCATGAGATTTGAACTGCTTTATTTTTCTTTTTGAGGTTAATACAGCAGATGTGTTAAGCACTTTTTAGATGTTTTTAGATTAGAATCAATAAAAAAATAAGACTTGGGTGACAGAGAATAGTGAAAAAGAAAGTCGCTCATTTGTGTCTGACTCTTTGTAACCCCTTGGAATTCTCTAGGCCAGAATACTGGAGTGGGTAGCCTTTCCCTTCTCCAGGGGATCTCCCCATCCCAGGGATAGAATCCAGGTCTCCCACATTGCAGAGGAATTCTTTACCAATTGAGCCACAAGGGAAGTCCACACAGTGAGAACATCAAAATGTTAGCTTTATTCCTGATACTTAACCAAAGTGCTTGCAAATAATTCCCCCTTGAGCTAGACAAATTTAGTTATCCAATCTCTGTTACTGCTAGAAAATTGCTGCCTTCCTCATCTCCTAGCACCATAGAACAAGTCCATTTTAACTTACAGCATAAAGAAAGCCAGAATGAATCCTCATTGTAGACAGTAAGATCCAAAGGCAGAAGACAAGACTGATCTAGGAATACTCAATTTCTTCTTCTCCCAAGCTCACCAATCATCCTCTCCAAGGGAGGAAAGCTTAGGGAGAGAGATCAGGAGTGTAACTGTGAAATCCTTCAATGTGGAAAAAGTAGCCAGGGAAATGGAAGACCTTTAATCCACCCTCATTCCAATGTTTCATAAGGTCTTTGCTCTTTTAACTCACATATCTTATCATTAAGTAAACTTATGGTAAGTCAAGTTGTAGCCACATATCCCATCACCATATTTTATTAGAGTTGTCTTTTCACTCAACATATGAAAACTTTTATTAATAATTGCCAGTTGAGCCCTGTGCTCCTGGTACTATAGTTAGTAGTACCATGGATTCATTCTGGATTTTGTCTAGCCACCTGGCCACCATGCTCTCATTAGCAAGATTTCCCACACCTATAGCAGTAAATTATTCATTTACAAAGATAGTCTTTCTCTGTAGTTCTAGTCTCTGTCTCCTATTTCTCATCCTCCCTTACATCCACCTATGTTGTAATAAAGTTCATCAGAAGTTCTAATATTAGATCACATTTAGATAGACCAATAATAAAATGACCAGAATATAGAGATGCTCTGAATTTGAAAACAAACAAAC